GCAGACCCCCACTCCAATACCAAATGGTCCCGCAATGATTCAACGGTGCACATGTGGCATGTGTAACATGAGCTGTCATTACACCCAGCAAGGTGTGGGTAACCTCTGGTCATGAGTCATAACTGCGAAACACCTCCTACCAAAACATTGTACCAGGACACGTGGCAAGCCATTCCGCCAGGAGCTTTACCTGGTCAGGACCTCCGCCCAGGCTGACAGCCATGAGAGGTGTTGCAGTCTGTCCATCATATGTCGTAGCAAAAGGGCATCTCTCAACATCTCTCGAAACAAAGACAACCACTGCCCTTGGCCATCAGATTCTCGAGATTTCAGATACAAAAAAATGCAAAATAGGCTTGAGTTGCCATCTTGCCCCCTTGCTTTTGGAAGCGGCAGTGGTCGCCTTGACTTTCCACAAGCTCATGCTTCAACAGCGCCATGGCATCTGGACGCCTCAACGTGGCGTGTAGCTTTCACACAAAATACATCTGTGTCATAGCGTTGGGAAGCTCGCATGGATGGTATCGTTCACTTTCCCTGGTTGCTGGACAAAGAAACAAAAAAGAAATGCTGCTGCCGCATCTGGCTCTACTCCACTTGTAGGACGTCTAGGAACACCTTCAAAGGTCTCAATACCTGGCACCTGGTTGTTCCTTCCAAACGAAAACCCACCAAGCAGGTAGCAGCTAGCAACCTCAAAAAGTGCAAAAGGCAATCTCGTCAGATTGGGATGTCGCCTTTTCTGTGGTCTCTTCGGGGCACCCGGCTTCGTGTCGTCTCTTCTCAAGCACTGTGCCACGAAGTCGCAAAGAGCTTGAGGGAACTTTCCCGGATCCAAACGAGGCCTAAAGGATGGTTGGACAGGATAGGATGGTGATAAGACATGCTCAAACTGACAGGATGATTAGATTATAGATGTGAACATCACGTATACATAAAGTTGTGTTTCAGCTCATCGATCCTCACAAAGCCAGCCCATATATTTAAATCAGTTACACAATCACATATGAAGTCAATATGTTGTCTCGTGGCTTGACCGGTCCAACTTATCCACTAGTTATATAACAGCCTAGCAGCTAAGAGCCATGGCTGATCGAAACAAACGTCCCATACTATGCTCGGTAGCAGGCTCTGGCTGGGCACAGAGGCACTGGCACGAGGCGCAAGGCAGGCACAGATTTTGGGGGGTTCATACGGATCCATTGGGCCCGATCTGCGGGTTTTCATGGCACCAATGGAAGACAAAAAAAAAAAAAATTGACGCTACTAGGAGCTCCTGGCCTTACTTCTAGGAGCAAGTGTGTGACCCCAGAATTGGTCCACCTCGTAGAGGTCTAGGAAGTTCTTCGCCTCGTAGGGGTACCTTCAGGAGTGAGTTCCAAAAGGGCATCATGTGAAAGGCCGGATTTTTGTTGACAGGCCTTCCTCGTTCGATCTTGCTTCTTCGGTCTGCGAACTTGTGTTGGCTTGTTGAGGAATATCCAACAGTTCAATCTTTGCTTCGAAGACAGTTTAAAGTTGCTGCAAGTGTCACCAGCCAGTGCTTCTGGATTGCTTTGCAATGGCACTTTCCGTTGGCCATTTCGAGAACCACCATTCCAGCACTCCAGACCTCAGAAAAGTCTCTGTTAGCCTGTAAACTTTAGCTGTATATAATGGGTAAAGTCTGGGAACGCATGGACAGCAGTGGTGGCCAAGCCCAAAAGGTCAACATATCATGACAATTCACCACGTGTGTGTCAAAATTGCCACCCCTTTCCTCAGGAGCTGACATCTGACCTGACACAAGTGAAAAGAATCCGGACAAAATTTACGCGTTACGCCTCGAGTTGGGCGGACCTGCAGAACGCAACAGGTCATCCCGTCCATTGAATTCATTTGTTGCACAAACAAACACCTCTACAATCTGGACCTTTGATACAACAAGCCCTAGCCATTTCAATCAGGTTTCACACAAAACTTCACCGCAACAGTCCAATGGAGGCTGTGCCTGAAGGAATAGTCCTGCAGCCAGGCTTAGTTCAACAAAGCAGGTCTGCTACATGGAAAATGCATGTGTAAAGGCAAGGACAGCACGAGTCAAAACTCTGCACTGGGTCAAACCTGCTCAGCTTCACTCCGGAGTAAGGCTTGCTCTCCGCTGAGGAGGTCCATCATTGAAGCGGAATGCATGAGAGTTTGGAGGCCGGAATCTCTCATCCATGGATTATGTCGATTGTGCCGAGAAGAAAACGATAAAATTCTTCCAAACCTTCGCGGAGAGTCTCGGTGAAGTTGGTGTGTCCTTCCCAAGCGCTCGCTCAGGCGACATGTAGTTGGCAGTGCCGACAAAGCTTGCAGCAACACCAGCTGTAGAGGTCAAATCCTGCGGGGCAAAAGAGGCGAAATGCATTTTCGCAGGTGCCGCTCCTTTTTCCGAAGAAACATGTCATGTGCGAAGTAAAGATAGGTGAATGGATTTGCCTTTTGCTGCGAATACACAAACAAGTTCAAACAAGGAATCTAGGTGATCTGAAGAGAACAAAACTAACCAGATCTTAACAGACTTTTGCAAGTTGACGCTTGGTTTGTAAAATGCCTTTTGTGGCCCAAGCAAGCAAGACATAGAGCCCTAAGACCAGCAATGAAAAAAAAACTGTTGAAACGAGAGCCTTCCCCCTTTGGCCCAGCTCTTCACTACATAGCACAGCTGCGGCCTTTGAAATGCCAAAGTCGGTCAGCTTCACCTCAGCTGCGGTGGCCACAATGACCCTGATTCCTTCACAATGACCCTGATTCCTTCCATTCCTTTCACCATGTCTAACCAGTTAAAGACAGATCATAAGGTTTGGAGGCTTAAAGATCCTTAAAGATCCTTTACCACCTTTACCCACCATCAGCCGCACACTGGAATGTTCCACCCTGCAGTCTTATGGACACTTGGGTACCTGGCCTGGCCCAGGCTATTGTGCAGGACGTTTTCAGGCTTCACGTCTCGGTGAAGTAAACGCCTTGTGCAGTGCTATGTCTCTGAGGCCTTTACCAAGCAAACCACCTTTCGAAAGAGAAGTTTTCGAAGAAAGTGCTCTCTGTTTGTGCCTGCTTTGAAGATGTGCTAGCCCGCGAACAACTTGAGCAGCTACGCATGCCAGCTGTTCGGGCCTCAGGTAAGAGACACAACATAGGAGCATTCTTTGACAGAAGGATCCATGATAGCAGCATCCGGAAAAAAAGAGAAGGAAAAGAAAAGAAAACACAACGTCCACAGTCCTGTTCCAGCTCTCCAACTCCACTTGACCCTTTTGTTGTTCTCTAGGAGCTCGGCGGCACCGGGCCTGCACACCGCCTCAACCGGAAGAGAGCAACGGGATACGAGCCCTCAAGACGTCGTTCAAGAGGAAAGGAATAACATGATGTTAACAACACGGAACAACACACTGAAATCAACTCTAATAATGAATAACACACGACAGTAATAGACCATCTGCATCAGGTGCCCTGCCTTCTCAAATCTGCCAGGCTGCCTCTGTCCATGAGTTCTACAACCTTGGCACAGGACATCTGACACTCCGACAGCTCCACGGCCTCCGCTTTCGCGGCACCTGTATGAATCTGTGTATGTGTGGTACATATGGTTTCATGATGTTTAACGAGGATCCAGGATGCCAGGATCCATGAAAAATCATAAGAATGTCTCCTAAGACGCCGGCGACATGAACGAGGCCTGTGTCCTGAGCGCCAAAATAAGTACAACATCTACAGCATGGACTGAGGTTTCGGAAGCCTCCTCTGACTCTGCAAAACAACACACCCCAACATGAACACTCGCACTGCAGGATTCGCAGGTCCTTGCCGACAAAGCCTGCATACCACTGCACCAGGTATGGACAACCTGCAGCCTCAGTGGCTTCAGGATATGGCCATATCGCCAACTCAAGCATCCAGCAGCGGCTGGCAGCGTCAGGAACTGTCGAAACCTCTTAGGCCCTTGCGAGCACAAGCCCTTTGATCTCTTTCAGCATTTGTTCACGCTTCTCTTTGTGGTCAACCTTCACCTCCAAAGCCCCGCGAGGTGAAGGAACTGTGTGATGCTCCCACAAATTCTGCTGTCACATTCCTAAGTCGTTTATACAGCATGCATCGGGTTGACGTTACAATCTAGATCAATCTACTCCGCATGCATGTATATTCTTGTCCAAGTCCTGCTACCATAATCTTGGTCACAACAACCTCGTAGAACACTGCATGCTGGTGCAAGGAAGGTCCTTTCCAAGCACTGCAGTGTCTCCCCACCGTCTTGATTGCCACGCGCATGCCAGTGGGCTTGTGCACCCCAGCCTGGACCTGACATGATTGGGGTAAAGGCCACACCAAGATGCATATTGATTGCTAAGCCTTTTGTGAATAAGAAAGAACTTTAGCCGTGAGTAGTGGTGTGAAGAACCAGGAGCTCCGCCGATTGGTCAAGTTCAAGTTGTCTTTTGGTCATGTCAGTACCAAAAAGCAGCTGGCTATGTTATTGCAATTTGTTATTGCATCACGCAAGTAAGGCATCGACCACACCGCCGGCACCAGTGCCCAGGGTGCAACTTCTGTCCTGGCCGGGGCCATTCAATTATTCTGCACCGAGCACAACTCCATTCATGCTGAGCACAAGTCGACGACGTATGCTCGGTCGACGACGGCCCATTGGGAATTTACTCAGTAATGCCAGGAGCTACGTTCGTCTCGTCCTTGCTCCTAGTAGCGATGCCCTTTGTTCCTAGTAGCTTCTTGTTCCTAGTAGTAAGGCCAGGAGCTACTAGTAGCGTCCTTGTTACTAGTAGTTTAGTAGTAATGCACTTGTTACTAGTAGCGACGTAGTCACGTAGTCCGTTTTATCACGACAAAACCCCCACTGTCCAAGTCAATGTCTTGTGGGGACAGGCGATATTCTTGGCCATCAAGCACCACGCCCTTGTCTGGCGACACCTGGCCAAACTAAACTCTCTCGACACCAAAGCGAATAGGATCACTGCATGGCATAGTGTCGCAATCGAGTACTTTGTTTGAACAAAGACTGTATCAACAGATCATGGGCTGGAGAAAGACGTGCCAATGAGTGCCCGCATCCCTGAGGGATTGTGTCGCAGCGTGCCATCCTTGCAGGACATGAAGAACAGATTTAACAGTTATCCACACCGTCCACACTTATCATCACCTATCCATCAAAGGCCAAGCTGTGAGAAAGTTTCTTTGGGGGGTTGCAGACCTTTTCTCAGGGTTGCAATATCTAAGATGACCAAGCCGAGAACCCTGGTCCTCATCCACAGACCAAGTCAGTGACACTGACAACTCCTTCAGCTGAGAAAGCGGATCAACGTCTTTTTCCCAGCCCTGGTTGCACTTCTGGTTGTCTTCTTTGTCCCCTTTTCATCATCACTGTCGCAAACACTCTTCGCTTCGTGCCTCGTCAATCTCCAGCAGCGGCCTCGTTTCGACGACGGAAATAGGTTTCTGAGTTTACCGTCGGTACCTCCGGACACCAAAAAGAAGGTAGAAATGCGATCCGAAGGCTCGGCCACACTGGTCAGCCTACATGATCTCCAGAGTTGGTGTCAAACGTCAGCACGGGCAAATGTTGCTTCTAAGCTAGTGGCATAGATGCAGCCCAGAGTCAAACCTGTGGAACATGTGCGGACGCTACAAAAGCAAATTGCTTTGAGAACTAGAAGGAAGTCATTTCTTTGGGACATCTTCGAACGAAAGAAGCGGCCTCTGCGAATGGACTGCATGCCGTGTGCCCAAGGATACAAATGCATTGAGCACAAGATTCTGCTTGAGACACATGAATCACGTGAATGCATGTTGGCCGAAGCCCTGGCAGCCTGGCAAGCCCATACATGTTTTTATATATCAGAATGTACCCACGCAAGCGTGCCCAGTCCCACGGAATGTTGCCAATGATCTGAAAGTTCCCTGCGTTCTTTTCTTGCTCTGCAACTCATGTTTCGTCGTCAAGCTCTTCCCCATCCTCCTCCACAGGAGCCTCGAAGCAATCCAAAGCCACGGTCATGACCGAAAACACCACGTTGTAACATAAACATACAAGTATCTTGCTTAGGAGAGCAAAACAGCCCGTAACTAACAACTACGAATGCACAACTATTCTGCGATATTACGTGTTTTGCTCTGCCCGAATGCTTGAGTTTGATCAAAAAAATCAATTTAGTTTTTGCCTGACTACACTGAAACAGCACAAACAGCCGTTCAAGTTCAACAGTTTTCAACATCATTTCTCTCTCTCTCTCTCTCTCTCTCTCTCCGTCTCGCCTCCTGGGCTCCACCAGGCTGCGCTAAACGGCGTTCCCGGCCCTTGTCCATCGCCTGTGGAGAGGATCGATCCTATGGGCTGCGCTTATATAAATGTGTTTCTCAGAAGAATCTCATGGATTTGCATCATTGGAGACTAACTGCAACAGGCTTAATCCTGGAAAAAACTTGAATTGCCGGCGGTGCGCCAGTTGCATTGCATGGTTTACAAATCAGCTGTCCCGCGGAACATTGCACTAGACTAGGCAGCTATGGATCGCCTTCTTCATCACCTCGCGTTGCATCTCTGCATCCTGCGTGCACAGCTAGCGGGTTTACGAGTGTCAGCGCACGTTGGCCATTCAAATCCCAGCATCGGTTGCTACACCTGCCTCTCACAAGTTGCGAACTATTTTCGTTCAATTCATGCGCATGTTGCTCGATGTGATTATGCAGCCCCTCATCCTCTCCTGGCTCTGCTTTGAGACCACATGAACCGATATGGTGTACTTCCCTGAGCGGACGCGCTGATCAGTCTGCCTCTTGATGGCGCCAAAGATCACCGAATAGGTCCAAAACAAAAGAGGCAAAGGACTGATTCGAGCAGCCCGCATTGCAAAATTCAAGCACCCTGAAACATCAAAGCAGATCCGCCCAACAGAAGCAGAAAATGCGGCAAGCAGTGTGCGTGTGTGTGTGTGTGTGCCCCTTGTAGTCACAGGGGTTCTTTTGAATTGTGTTCTTTTACAATGAGCAGGGGGACAACCCCATGGATGCAGTTGGTTGTCCAACGAAGAGAAGAGGGCTGCATTCCACGGCTGATATGATCCTGGGACGCTGGGATCACGTACCTGCTTGGTTGTGATGTTTACAAGCTGCTACCATCATCTTCCACTACAGTGCTAGTGCGCTCCGCAGACTTGCACGGACCGTCGTCATCCCGTCGCTCCGACTCCGGCTTCTCATGCCTTTACGTGACCGCAGCGGTCAGAGGTGGCCGCCCTCGGGCAAGCCGTACGTGGTCGCAGCGACCAAAGCTTGTTCAAGGTTCATTGGAACCTGTCCCATTCTTAGGTGCACACACAGCGTTTACATGCAAACGAGGCGAGGTCTTCCTAGGTGTTTCTAATGAGGTTCGGCTTCATCGGTGCTCGTCCCCTCCATTTGGTTCCCTTTTCATCCTTTTTCCCCTTTTACACACCTTTGGTTTCCTCTTTTCTTTCATGTCCTCCTGTCTTCATGTCTGGTCATACGCATTTCTATAAGTGTGTGTGTGTGTGTCCACACCTGTACCGAAGGACACCACTCAATGCAAGTTAATTCGCTTCTCCGCGTTAACAGGCAGGGGGGCACTGAACACTTTGGAAGGCATTGCACAACGAAGACTCTTCCATCGTGTTGCGATATTCCCGAGGGACGCCTTGGGAACGTACCTGCGACTTCGCGCAAGCATTTTTGAAGTAAGCCATACTGTTTAGGCTGACCTTCTCACCTTCTGTTCTGCACATGGCCGTTGACAAGCTCAGGTTCCAGCGCTCTAGATCGGTATTGTATTCACTAGAGTGGATTGCCTTAACTGATTTAGCTCTTGCGAGCATCATTCTAAATGTGTGTGTGAAGCCCTTGGAGTCATAGGGCTTCCGTTGATGTTATGATTTTTAGCAGGGGCACTGAGCGCTCGTTGGCAAACTCAGTGCAACGAAACTATGCCTTCGGTGGGAAGCACGGATGGATCACCCGTGTGTACCCGAAGTTTTTACCGGAGCCATTCCCACTTTAGCTAAAATTCAGCTAAAACAAGAATTTCGGCCTTTGCACCGGTTTGCATCGGCAGTCACGCATTTGACTTTGGAGCTTTGCAACTTGGAGGGCTCTGGAGGCCTCATGGAGGGTTTCTTTTGGAACTTTGGCACGTTGGTGATTCGACTACCTGTTTTACCCAGGCAATTTTCTCACTTAGACTTCTTCAGGGCTTGTGGCGATCAGTTCCGTACGCAATATCTCGGGTGTATGTGTGTGTGTGTGTCACCCTTGAAATCAGAGGGAACCTTTTGGCTTTTGTTGTTGTAAGTTGTAATGTTTGCAGGAGGGGGATCACCGACGGACTTGACTGGCAATCCAACAAAGAGGGTCAAACTCCGTGCTGATATCTGCCCTGATAAGCCAGACGTACCTGCTGTGAATACCTTTCAATTCCATCTGGGCCCCTTTTGTCACTATAACATTTTGCCGGCCTTTGCAGCAGTTCCGAGCACGGCAGTCACGCAGCTTTGTTTGTCGTACTGGAACTGTTGACTTTGGAGCTTTTGGAGATGGTTGGACCGCATTGCATTGTACCTGTTTACAGACTTAGGCATGTTTTCACTTAGACTTCTGCTAGGCATTTGACAACCTTCGTACGAACTCTTGTCTTGAGTGTGTGTGGCAGATAACCACCACCACTCTGCCGTGCCTGCAGCGCTTTCAGGGTTGCGGAAAGCAATCCGCACTGGGACCTGGACGAGCGAGGCATGCTTTGCTCCTAGAGATCCTGATTATTTAATAGTGGAAAGAGCTTTGCCAGCTCAGGTGTCCTCAAAAACGGGACAGTGACATGAGCCCACATATGTCCATAAATTAATCTTCCTGTAACTTTCGGGTCCCCTATGCTGGACGATGGCACAACCATCAAACTACGTGTATTGGTCACTAGATTAAAATGTTGGAGACCCTTAAATTTAGATTATCTGTGGACGTGTGTCATGCAAGGGATCCTTTGCCTCGTGGACCCCCACTTGCATGAGGCCGTCTTCAGGTACGTCCAGGTCTCAGAAGAAGGTGAGGCCGTAAAACAAAGCAGCCAAGTGTGGAGGGTGGGCATACAACGATCGTGCAAAAGCAAGAAATGAGCGTGACCGTCCCAGTCAGGAAGAAGTGAATAAGATGAAATGACCATCATGCCACCGTATGTCCATGCGTTTACTTCTAAAACACATCAGCTCCGCCAAGAGAACAATAGCTTAAGAACACTTCAACATCTGAGGTAAAGATGCAAAGCTTCTCAGGTTGTCCCCGGCTGCCCCCTCGTAAGGCACCCGCTGCCCGGAAGCAAGTCCAACTCATGATTTGTGGAGAGGTCCTCTGATGGATCAATGGATCTGCAGATTCTAGATCTGAAGACAGATCCGGAATGTAGAATCTAAGCTTCAGGAACTCACTCTATTATGCTGGTAAACGATGGTGCACCCTCTACAACTGTGGCTTCTCCTCCAAGATATCCCACACCGTAACTGGCTCCAGCAGCAGCATGGCTTGATCCTGCAAAGGGATCAACATGGGTGAACTGTTTCGAGGCTTCTGTTCTTTGTTCCTAGTAGCGTCCTCTTGTTCCTAGTAGTAAGGCCAGGAG